TGGGCTATATTTGGCTGACCAGGTTATAAACAGTCATATCTAAACATAAGTAGTATTGAAACCAGTACCATGATAAACGATTTCATTCTTCATACCTTAGGAGCGTTTGTTTTGGTATCAAACCGAAGGTCAAATTGTCAGTACTCCAAAGGAGAGCATGTGTCCTACTGCATATATATATATAACATTCGGCTGTTAAAGGTTAATTAGATGCCTGTCCAGCCTTACAAATACATAATTTTATATAATTTCGAATTTGGTAAACAGTTGCAGTGCAGTTTAATTTCTGTTGAATCAGAAATCTCCATACATGCTCATGGACTCAGGCACACACCACACAAGGGGGTGTGTTCTCTCTGTCCCTCCCTCCCACCCCTCTCTGTCACCACTCTCACGTGTACTGATTTAACATCTCACTGTACTGGGGCTTCAAACTTATTTCTATTCCTATTAGGATTTTTCATGTTGTTTACTCATTTTCCAGGGTAATTTGAATGAACTTCAACCCGTACATGGTGAGGATCGACAATATTCGTGTGATGAGTGTGGTGAATCATTCAGTCAGCAGGTAATTCTGAGAGCACATCAACGCATGCATAGTGGGGAGCAGCTGTTTTGTTGTGATGTACGTAAAAAGTCATTTGGTCTGCAGAGTCATCTGAAGAAGCATCAGTGCATACATAGTGGGGAGAAGGCGTTTTGTTGTGATGTATGTAAAAAGTCATTCAGGTTGCAGAATAATCTGAAGAGGCATCAGCGCATACATAGTGGGGAGAAGCCGTTTTGTTGTGATGTATGTAATAAGTCATTCAGTCGGTGGAGCCATCAGAAGAAACATGAGCATATACATAGTGGGGAGAAGCCGTTTTGTTGTGATGTATGTAATAAGTCATTCAGTCGGTGGACCCATCAGAAGAAACATGAGCATATACATAGTGGGGAGAAGCCGTTTTGTTGTGATGTATGTAATAAGTCATTCAGTCGGTGGAGCCATCAGAAGAAACATGAGCATATACATAGTGGGGAGAAGCCGTTTTGTTGTGATGTATGTAATAAGTCATTCAGTCGGTGGACCCATCAGAAGAAACATGAGCATATACATAGTGGGGAGAAGCCGTTTTGTTGTGATGTATGTAATAAGTCATTCAGTCGGTGGAGCCATCAGAAGAAACATGAGCATATACATAGTGGGGAGAAGCCGTTTTGTTGTGATGTATGTAATAAGTCATTCAGTCGGTGGACCCATCAGAAGAAACATGAGCATATACATAGTGGGGAGAAGCCGTTTTGTTGTGATGTATGTAATAAGTCATTCAGTCGGTGGAGCCATCAGAAGAAACATGAGCATATACATAGTGGGGAGAAGCCGTTTTGTTGTGATGTATGTAATAAGTCATTCAGTCGGTGGACCCATCAGAAGAAACATGAGCATATACATAGTGGGGAGAAGCCGTTTTGTTGTGATGTATGTAATAAGTCATTCAGTCGGTGGAGCCATCAGAAGAAACATGAGCATATACATAGTGGGGAGAAGCCGTTTTGTTGTGATGTATGTAATAAGTCATTCAGTCGGTGGACCCATCAGAAGAAACATGAGCATATACATAGTGGGGAGAAGCCGTTTTGTTGTGATGTATGTAATAAGTCATTCAGTCGGTGGAGCCATCAGAAGAAACATGAGCATATACATAGTGGGGAGAAGCCGTTTTGTTGTGATGTATGTAATAAGTCATTCAGTCGGTGGACCCATCAGAAGAAACATGAGCATATACATAGTGGGGAGAAGCCGTTTTGTTGTGATGTATGTAAAAAGTCATTCAGTCAGAAGAATGATCTGAAGAGGCATCAGTGCATACATAGTGGGGAGAAGGCATTTTGTTGTGATGTATGTAAAAGGTCATTCAGTCAGAAGAATGATCTGAAGAGGCATCAGTGCATACATAGTGGGGAGAAGGCATTTTGTTGTGATGTATGTAAAAAGTCATTCAGTCGGCAGAGTACTCTGAAGACACATCAGCGCATACATAGTGGGGAGAAGCCGTTTTGTTGTGATGTATGTAAAAAGTCATTCTATCAGCAGAGTGATCTGAAGAGGCATCAGCGCATACATAGTGGGGAGAAGCCGTTTTGTTGTGATGTATGTAAAAAATCATTCACTCGGCAGAGTAGTCTGAAGAAACACAAGCACTTACATGTTGATGTGTGCAGTAAATCATAGAGCAGTTTAGATGGGTGTAGGCTAAAGGAACAGTATGTGATTTGTAGCATGCCACAGTTTCTCATGTTGTAAGTAAGACAGTTTTACTGTGTGTGGCATGTAGAATGCTACAATATATTGGAGTTGATTGCTGCTGTTAACCTTTTGAACTGATGGGAAATGAATCGAGTCCCATGGTACAAAACATCTGTGCAAATGAGTTCCATTTGATTCTGATTGCTGAATGTGTGCAATGTCCTGCCTTGTTGAGTGGGAACAGACAAGACAAACATGACATGACATTCTCCTGCAGTTGTGATATTAATTCAGCACTGGAAGCTAATGATTAGTAGAGCGTATCACTGAAATGGTTCAACAGTTTATAAACGTAATTCAGCAGCATCATATGAATGTTGCTGTATATTATCTGTGCTCTTCTGCCATTTCATGTGAGTAAATTTGTTGATCAGTTAGTTTCTGATTGATATATCGCTTGGATTGAGTATATTGAGATAACTGTTATGGATTGGTCAGATGAATACAAACTATGCTATATTGGACATTGCAGAAGAGATATCTGTTTGCGGGATACTTGGTATATTGATTATAAAAAGAAAGTTAAATAAAGGTGGTTTGATTCTGCTTGTGGAGAAATATAGTACAGTGGAACCTCGCTTAACGAGCACCTCTCATAACGAGTCATTTGCATAACTAGCAAAACAAATTGTAAAAAAATTACTCTCTTAACGAGTGATGAAAGGGGAAGTTCTGGATTGTGTGCTTGTTACATCAGTCTGTGTTTAGCACTCATTCCACTAGGATATTAGTGTTGCTTGTGATCGCACATTTTTCCAAACTTGTGTTCAGACATATTATTTGTGATTTTCTTTTGTGCTGCAAAAAGACAGCCATAAGAGAATAAAAATAACCGAAGAAATGAAACATAAAATCATTGAAAAGCGAGAACGAGGTGTGAGTGTGTCTGATCTAGCGCGCACATACAATCGGTCTACATCAACAATTTGCACGATTTGGAGTTGCATTGTGTTTCACAGCAAGAAGTTGAGGAGGAGAGTTCATCAGAGGAGGAGGAGGAGGAGGTAACAGCAAAGCAACAATCTTCTGGCGCAATAAGAGAAATGCTGGAAGCATGGGAAACTGTTGCATCATACATTGAGAAGCATCACCCTAATAAGGCAGTGGCTATGCGCACTACAAATTTATTTAATGATAATGCTGTGTCGCATTTTCACCAAATTTTGAAGTGTCGGCAAAAACAAATGTCTCTAGACAGCTTTCTAGTAAAAAAGAAATAGATATGCAACATAAATAATAAACTAGTTAGTTCGATTTTTTTTTTGTTTTCTGCTAATCGAATTCGCATTCCATGTTGGTTCATTCCGCATAGAAGAAAAGATGAAGGTGATTCACGCTGCTTAACAATGTATATATAATTTTCTTTGAATAAACGCTATACATAAAATTTTTTAAGAATTTTTTTCGGCATGGGAAGGCATTATCATATTTTACATTAATTTATATGGGAAAATTGTTTTGCTTAACGAGTGTTTCGCATTACGAGTAAGATTCTGGAACTAATTATGCTCGTTAAGCGAGGTTCCACTGTAGTGCTAAGAATTGTATTGAAAGGATCATGAAAGACTTGCTTACATCCTTCCATTGTGAATATCAGCAGAGAAACTGAGTGGTGTGCCAAACCACTCAGGCACTCCTTTGCCTTAGAGGGAAAGGGTCAACTGAAAATTGTGAAGTAAGTTTCAGTGTAGTTATATAATTCTTTAATAAAATCAGGCAGTGTCATTAATATTGTCATGTGTTGGGTGTATAACACGACAAATAACTTCATGCCGTATTAGATATAGCGAATTTTATTTCACAGTCGCTCATACAATCACACAATTTACAAGTTCAACTTTACTGCCATTGGCAGTATCAGAAATACTGGACTGCAATTAACTGGTGACTGACCCTATGGCTAACTTGTAACTAACTGTGAATAGTCTTCACTGCCCCTTGTTTAGCCCCATTCTGGACAACACAGAAAACAGCCACGTAAGGCACCACTGTTGTCTGGCGCCGTTTGCCGATAGCCTAGCAACGCTCTTAGGAAGAAGTCTTGACTTGCCTGTTACCCTAGTAACAACAGCGCTCCGATGGTGTTACGTCACCACTGGCGGGTGGTGGGGTGTCCTGCATAGCGCAACACGTCACATTATTATTAATTGGAATTTAAGAGGTTTCATGTAATGGAGTGACACAAGAGGAATAGCTTTTAAATATACTTAAATTCAGTGCAGTTATGCCCCTCCCTCCATACCAGTTTTCTTAACTGCCTGAATGAACTGCATCATAACCAAAGCTAATTCTTGGTCACTCTGAGCAAGTGATCTCTAATTACTGACACTTTTCTTGCCAAGGAACACTTGTTTCATTTTGCACAAGATGTACCATACATTCATCCCTCAATAACTTTGCATCAGCAGAGCTCCTCATGTGTCACCACATGTTGGCTGTCTCTGCATCACCAGAACAGATCGTGCCCCATGGTCCTGGAATGTGTGTTCCATTTTGTCTCTTCACCATATAAAGTAGTGCGTAGTGCATGGATGGATTTGCAAGTTGCAGTTGTCCTCACAAAAGTGTGAAGGTAGGCTGATGCTGTGTATTCTGTATGCTTAAAGAAGGGAATATGGAGTGAAATCATCTGGCTCAGGATAGGAGCGAGTGTCTGGCTGTGAATGGTAATGAACCCTTGCATTCCATAACATGTTGGTAATTCATCGAGTAGGTGAGCAACTAGTAGCTTCTCTGGAAAGGTGCAGCTGTGTGAAGTGGTTAATATTTGTCATTAGAACTTCTAGATCGATTGTCTGGAACTGGAATTTGTTGTTGACCCCATCCTGCTGAAGGAACCCAAATGTGTCTCTGATCATCAGTAGGTCTGGGTTCCCCTGTTATATACATTGGGGTAGTACAGTATGTACCTGAGGGCAGTGACTCACATCCACCCAGTCAGTTTATCAAACTCTAGTTTCCCACCAGACTGAAGCAAAGTTTGACTACTTCCAAGAAATGTATTTTTGCAGTATGTGTTTCCACCAAAGTATGGCATATCCCAGAAGGTCGCACTCTTGATATTCACTGCCATGAGAGACTCATGTCATGTCATGTCATGTCATGTCATGTCATGTCATGCTGTTATCTTCTGGGCTACTTCATCCTGGGAGATAATGCACATAAGAGAACCTGCATGACACTACATTGTATTCTTCTGTTTCATGAAGCCGCTACATCCACTGCACTGTACCATTTGATGATCTGGAAGTCATCAATGCTGCTTTTTATTTTTTTTAATTTTTTCTCAAGAATGGTTGTAAAGGCGCAAAGGTCACGTACATGTAGATATAGTTTTTTGGGGTAAATTTGGAATAATAGTAGATACACTGTAAGATTAAGAAACAGCAATGATGAAACGAACCAGGAAGCTTGGGTTTACAAAGAAGTGTAACAGGCAATACCTGAGTAATCAGAATGTTAGCGTGACAGCGTAATAACGCTGACACTGAGAAAGAAGCTATATGAAGTAGGTCATAAACACTATGGCAGGAGGAAAACGCTGAGTCGGAGAAGGCGGTAAACCCGAAAGAGTCAACCCCTTCTCGATATACAGCCATTGAGTAGGCCACACCGACCCAAAATCACGTCAGAATGGGCGGGCCAATATACCCCGGAACACAAAGAATCAGCAAAAAGAGGTTATATAAACCCTAGAAGAATCAATCAAAAAACCTTTTTGCCTTTTGACTTTTGAATATTATTATGTGACATAGAGTCCAGCCAGAGGCTATCGCCGAGAGGGCGATGGCGAACATCTGTTTCCTCAGCTCAAAGTAAGTGATCTAACTTCATATAGCCATGAATATTAAGTGTGATAGTGATAATTGTAAAGTGTAAACCCCAGAGAAAGATAGTGCTAACTAGATGGATTAGGTTCATTAAGAGATACAGAGGAGTAGAATACCCCACAGCAGGGGGACAGGAGATAGGGCCAATGATGGCTGCAGGTTCATCATCAAATGTAATACAACCGACGAACGTCGGCAAAGTCTGTATGTAGTATGTATATGGCGACATAGGGAAATAGAAGAGGATAGGAATGTGTGTGAGTTTAATTCAACCTAGCATTTCCTTAAGTGTTACCCTCTTCCCTGACGACTCCAGGACCTCCCAAGCTTCGGCGAATTGCGAGTTAAGCCAGGACAGTGACATAAGCAATGATAAGTTTACTAGTTTTCTTGATATAACAAGCTGGTGGCAGCATACTAAACCGGGTGACAGAGCGGGATACTTCCACGCCCCCTGTCACCACGGCATAATAGTGGTGGAACGGCGGCATAACAGTGGAGACAGCGGTGAGATAACTAATCCACCCCTGTCATAAGGGCGTAAGGGCATAACAGTGGTGGAAGAGGTGGGGATACCTCCACGCCATAACAGTGGTGGAAGCTGTGGGGATACCTCCACGCCCCCCCCCCACCACGACGTAACAATGGTACTTAGAAATATTTTTAAACAATATTTATTTAAAAAATAAAGAAAAATCTGCTGAATTTAGCAGACTAACACTTTTCCAAATGCAAATGGAGAGGACACAGGATTACACCCCAAAACACAGCAACCTTCAGCCAGCATGTAAGAACCTCAAGTCTCACATGAGAAAGGGACTGAAGCAGTACTCATACTGCACTTGAAACTTCTGTACGAGTATATTATGCCACCTAAATTATCATCATAATTATTAACATGTCCCTCTAGTTCTGTCTCTGATAATACTGTAGTGTCAAATGTTAGTTGTTAGTGATTATTAGACTGGGTTTGGATTGGTGAACAGATTTATTGACCACTTACAGGGTGTAACTACAAAACTATAACACTACTGCTGATTTCCACACTACAGATCACCCCAAACTAAGTCTCCTCACTCTACTTTCACTGGTCTTTTCTTGGTAACTGCTCTCCACTGTGGCTGTTCCTCTGCAGTGTTCTCGCTAGGCGTTTCCTGGTAATGAAACTTAGCAATGGATATTCTTCATCTTCTTTTCCCACTGATTAACCGTCCACAACTGAACCCTCAACTGCATTGTATGGCTAGTTGTCTATGCCACATTTTGGAGAAATTTTGCTGATTATGGTGGCTCTGTGTCACCCTTATCCAAAGTGAGTGGCAATGAGACAGTTCTGACTGAATCAACAGAAAAAGCCACTGTGATGTGATGAGTGTTGGTGGAAATTGATCTACTCCTGGGTATGTTACAGAGACGCAAGTGGTCCTAGTGACGGTGCAAATGATACCGCCAGACCATACCAGCATTTATGCTGTAACATGTACATCAGCAATCCCTCTTGCAGGAGGTATCTTAGTTCTGTGCATTCGTACTCAATTTCCACGTATTAAATTTTGGATTTTTTTTAAGAAACATGTCTTGGTTTTGCCAACGGTTTTTTCCTTCAACTGACACTAGCCTGAATATCATATGCCTTCATCTGCCTGCTTTTCTCTTTAAGCTTGTCTCTTCCTGCCTGCCTCACCTGACATTCCAGCCGACATAATTCTTACCTAGCATGCATGTGGCTTCCATTGGTATGAGGAAGTAGGAAAAACACACTATTGACTTAACATGAAATCTTTCATTTAATGATGTGACATGTAAGAAAATGTGATCAAGTTGACTCAAGTTGTAGTGGAAATTGAGATACTGTTAAAATGGTTTGACATACATATTTAACTCGAACTGTTCCCAGGTACAATTAAATACAGTAGAACCTCGCTTAATGAGCAAAACAAATTGTAAAAAAAAAAAAATGACTCACTTAACGAGCGACAAGAGGGGAAGTCCTGGATTGTGCGCTTGCTACATCGGTCTGTGTTGGGTCTGTGTTTTGCATTCGTTCCGCTAGCATCTTAGTATCGCTTGTGATCACACATTTTTCCAAACTTGTGTTCAGACTTTTTTTTTGTGCAAAGTTTAATAACCCTTGCAAAAATTTCCCCGAAGAAGAAGACAGCCATAAGAGAATAAAAATAACCGTAGAAATGAAACGTAAAATCATTGAAAAGCGAGAACGAGGTGTGAGCGTGGCTGATGTAGCAGTCACATACAATTGGTCTACAGCAATGATTTGCACTATCCTCAAGAACAAGGACAAGATTAAGGAGACATGCTTCAAAGGGAGCGACACGAATATCTACGCAATGGTTACGTATTCTCGACGATGTTGAAAGGTTGCTCCTCATATGGAGAAACGAAAAGCAATTGCAAGGCGACACTATTAACGAGAACATCATTTGTGAGAAGGCGAAAGTGATTTTCGCCGACCTCGTTAAGAAGCCGCCAGGATCATCAACGGCCGAAGAAGAAGCATTTAAGGGAAGCCGTGGGTGGTTGGAGAAGTTTAAGAGAAGAACCGACATCCACAGCGTTGTAAGGCCCGGTGAAGCAGCAAGCTCCAACACAAAGGCAGCAGAGAACTTAATCGGCGACTTCAAGAAGCTCGTAGATTCTGGGGGTTACCTGCGTCAAGAGTTTTTGTGACGAGACGGGTCTCTTCTGGAAAAAGATGCCGCAGCGAACCTATATAACAGCAGAGGGGTCATTCCATGTGAAATCATCCAGAAAGGTCGCTCACCATTAAAAAAAAAATCAAAATTTGTACACTTATTTCTACATATTTTCACACCTAAAAAAATGTTAAAAAAATTGTGATCCGCTCGGTTCTCCCGGTACAGCCGTTTTTATAATGCGAAAAAACGCGTTTTCGACTCAAATGGAGTCTGCGTTATCTTCTGTATCTCGATAACTATTGAGGCTAGAGACTCCAATGAAAAACCAGTTTGTTCCTCATGATATGGGCAACAAATCATATCATTACAAGGTTTTACTCAACTCACTTCCTCTAGGTCTAATTAAGCTCGAAACTTACCTCTCGATTTTTGGAAAAACGCTATTTTTCACCTTCAAAAACCAATCGGAAGGGGAAAGTATCAGATCTGTGGTTGCTACCCTTCGTTTTCTCCTACATGAAGAATATAATCACATAGTTTTGAACATCATACCTATTTTCTAAAATTTTCCAGGAGCTTCCTAACTTTGCTCTGGGCCCAAAATCGGCCATTTTTAACATCTCATATCTCCGGTGGAGAAGCTCCGAAAATTTTGAAATTCATAGCAAGTAGTGCACTATTCTAGAGCAACCTGAAGTTAAAATTAAAACTTTTATATTCAACTAATAGCGAAGTTTCTATAATGCGAAAAAACGCGTTTTCGGCTCAAATGGAGGTTTGCGTTATCTTCCATATCTCGATAACTATTGAAGTTAGAGACTCCAGTAAGAAACCAATTTGTTCCTCATGATATGGACTATAAATCATGGCATTACAAGGTTTCACTCAACTCACTTCCTCTAGGTCTAATTAAGCTCGAATCTTACCTATCGATTTTGGGTAAAACGCAATTTTTCACCTTCAGAAACCAATGGGAGAGGGAAAGTATCAGATTTGTGGTTTCTACCCTTTGTTGTTTCCTACATGGGGAATATAATCACGTAGGTTGAACCCCGTACCTAGTTTCCAGAATTTTCCAGGAGTTTTCAAACTTTGCTCTGGGCCCCTAATCGGCCATTTTTAACATCTCATATCTCCGGTGGAGAAGTTTCGAAAAATTTGAAATTCATAGCAAATAATGCTCTATTCTAGAGTAACTTGGAGTTCAAATTACAACTTTGATATTCAAGTAATAGCGAAGTCGTGGGCACTTTAAATTTTACATTTTCTGCAGGAAATTGTTCGTTTCTCGTTCAAGACGAGATTCAAAGTTTCCAATGGGTAAATCAACAGGCTACACTTCACCCTTTTGTGTATTACTACAAGGCGGACACTATAACAAAATGCCCAAGCTTGTGCATAATCAGTGATCATGTAAAGCACGATAGAGCCACAGTTTATGTGTTCCAAAAATTTCTTATTGCCGATATAAAAGAAAATGTGCCTTCAGTCAGGAAAGTTATTTATTTTAGTGATGGCGCTGGAAGCCAATATAAAAACAAAAAGTATGTCCAATTTATGTCATCACTATGAAGACTTTGGACTTGAAGCAGAATGGAACTTCTTTGCCACCTCGCACGGGAAGAATGCCTCTGACGGCATTGGCAGCACCACGAAGAGGCAAGCAGCGAAAGACAGTCTTCAAAGAACTCATTTTAATCAAATCATTTGCCCGCTAGAACTGTAAATATTCTGCACAGAAAATATCCCAGGAATAGTTTATTTTTTGTGCCAAAAGAGGAGTTGCAAGAAATGAAATCAATCTAAAAAGCATGTTCCAAAAGTGCAAAACTGTGCTCCACACAAGAGAAGAACACCGGGTCGTCCATCTGGAGGAAAACACGGTCAGGTGTTATAAAACATCCAAGTCCGATGATTTCGAAGAATTCGTGATAGTGGACACTTACTGAACTACGTGTACTTTCAAACAAACTGGAAAATATTCATCGAGTACACAAAGAACTAATACCATTGGATGCAGGTAAGCCAGTTGTTGAGGTATTGGTTTTTTTGGTAAAATTCAAAGTGCCCACAACTTCGCTAGTATTTGAATATAAAAGCTGTAATTTTAACGTCAAGTTGCTCTAGAATAGTGCACTATTTGCTATGGATTTCAAAATTTTCGGAGCTTCTCCACCGGATATATGAGATGTTAAAAACGGCCGTTTTGGGGCCAAGCGCAAAGTTTCGAAGCTACTGGAAAATTTTAGAAAATAGGTATGGTGTAGGGTAGAAACCACAGATCTGATACTTTCCCCCTCCCATTGGTTTCTGAAGGTGAAAAATAGCGTTTTTCCCAAAATCGATAGGTAAGTTTCGAGCTTAATTAGACCTAGAGGAAGTGAGTTGAGTGAAACCTTGTAATATGATTTATAGTCCATATCATGAGGAACAAATTGGTTTCTTATTGGAGTCTCTAGCTTCAAAAGTTATCGAGTATTGGAGATAACGCAAACCTCCATTTCAGGCGAAAACGCGTTTTTTCGCATTATAGAAACTTCGCTATTAGTTTAATATCAAAGTTGTAATTTTAACTCCACGATAATCTGGAATAGAGCATTATTTGCTATGAGTTTAAATTTTTTCGGAGCTTCCCCACCGGAGATATGAGATGTTAAAAATGGCCGATTTGGGGCCCAGAGCAAAGTTTGGAAGCTGCTGGAAAATTTTAGAAAATAGGTATGGCGTTCAAAACTATGTGATTATATTCTTCGTGTAGGAGAAAACAAAGGGTAGAAACCACAGATCTGATACTTTCCCCCTCCCATTGGTTTCTGAAGGTCAAAAATAGCGTTTTTCCCAAAATCGATAGGTAAGTTTACACCTAAAGGAAGTTAGTTGAGTAAAACCTTGTAATATGATATGATTTCTTGTCCATATCATGAGTAACAAATTGGTTTTTCATTGGAGTCTCTAGATTCAATAGTTATCGAGATACAGAAGGTAAAGCAAACCCCCATTTGAACCGAAAACACGTTTTTTCACATTATAAAAACGGCTGTACCAGGAGAACCGAGCGGATCACAATTTTTTTAACATTTTTCTTGAGGTGTGAAAATATGTAGAAATGAGTGTACAAATTTTTAATTTTTTTAAAAATGGTGTTCGACCTCTCCAAATGATTTCACATGGAATGACCCAGAGGATAATATATTGCCTGGCCATATGCCAATGAAAGACCGCCTCATGCTGCTATTTTGTGCCAATGCAAGAGGCAATTTGAAAATTAAACCGCTGTTTCTTTACCATTCAGAAACTCCATGAGCCTTCAAGAAGTGTAAAGCCCAGAAGAGCAGGCTAAATGCGATGTGGAGGTCCAACAACAAGGCTTGGGTGACACGTGACCTTTTTACTGATTGGATCAATGAAGTGTTTGGTCCTTCTGTTAAAAAAATATTTGCTTGAGATGAATCTGCCACTCCATGTCTTGCTTGTTATGGACAACGCTCCTGCCCATCCTCCAGACCTACAAGATGACCTCCTTGAAGAATTTAAATTCATCAAGATCCAGTTTCTGCCTCCCAACACCACTCTGTTACTCCAGCCTATGAACCAGCAGGTTATTTCTAACTTTAAGAAGCTGTACACTAAAGCACTCTTCGAGCGTTATTTTGAGGTGACCGAAGGGACCAATCTCACTCTCAGAGAGTTTTGGAAATATCACTTTCACATCGTTGCCTGCCTCAAGATGATCGAAAAGGCGTGGGAAGGGGTTACCAAGAGAACCCTCACTTCTCCTTGGAAGCTTTGGCCGGAGAGCGTTGTCAAATGTGACTTTGAGGGGTTTGAGATAGTACCAGTGGAGCCTATAGTCAATGAGATTGTGTCTTTGGCCAAGATCATGGGGCTGGAGGTGGATAACAATGATATCGATGAGCTTGTGGAAGAGCACAACCAAAAGCTGATCACCGAAGAGCTTATGGAGTTGCATTGTGTTTCACAGCAAGAAGTTGTGGAGGAGAGTTTGTCAGAGGAGGAGGTAACAGCAAAGCAACAATCTTCTGGCACATCATACATTGAGAAGCATCACCCTAATAAGGCAGTGGCTATGCGCGCTACAAATTTATTTAATGATAATGCTGTGTCGCATTTTCACCAAATTTTGAAGCGTCGGCTAAAACAAATGTCTCTAGACAGCTTTCTAGTAAAAAAAGAATTAGATATGTATCATAAATAATAAACTAATTATTTCGATTTTTTTTTTTCGTTTTCGGCAAATCAAATTCGCATTCCAGGTTGGTTCGTTGTGCATAGAAGAAAAGATGAAGATGATTCACACTCCTTAACAATGTTTATATAATCTTCTTTGAATAAACGTTATACATAAATTTTTTTGAGTATTTTCNCACTCTGTTACTCCAGCCTATGAACCAGCAGGTTATTTCTAACTTTAAGAAGCTGTACACTAAAGCACTCTTCGAGCGTTATTTTGAGGTGACCGAAGGGACCAATCTCACTCTCAGAGAGTTTTGGAAATATCACTTTCACATCGTTGCCTGCCTCAAGATGATCGAAAAGGCGTGGGAAGGGGTTACCAAGAGAACCCTCACTTCTCCTTGGAAGCTTTGGCCGGAGAGCGTTGTCAAATGTGACTTTGAGGGGTTTGAGATAGTACCAGTGGAGCCTATAGTCAATGAGATTGTGTCTTTGGCCAAGATCATGGGGCTGGAGGTGGATAACAATGATATCGATGAGCTTGTGGAAGAGCACAACCAAAAGCTGATCACCGAAGAGCTTATGGAGTTGCATTGTGTTTCACAGCAAGAAGTTGTGGAGGAGAGTTTGTCAGAGGAGGAGGTAACAGCAAAGCAACAATCTTCTGGCACATCATACATTGAGAAGCATCACCCTAATAAGGCAGTGGCTATGCGCGCTACAAATTTATTTAATGATAATGCTGTGTCGCATTTTCACCAAATTTTGAAGCGTCGGCTAAAACAAATGTCTCTAGACAGCTTTCTAGTAAAAAAAGAATTAGATATGTATCATAAATAATAAACTAATTATTTCTTTTTTTTTTTTCGTTTTCGGCAAATCAAATTCGCATTCCAGGTTGGTTCGTTGTGCATAGAAGAAAAGATGAAGATGATTCACACTCCTTAACAATGTTTATATAATCTTCTTTGAATAAACGTTATACATAAATTTTTTTGAGTATTTTCTTGGCATGGAATGCATTATCGTATTTTACATTAATTTATATGGGAAAAATTGTTTCGCTTAACAAGTAAGATTCTGGAACGAATTATGCTCGTTAGGCGAGGTTGCACTGTAATAAAATATCTTTCATTGTGAAGTTTTTGTTGATCTTGATCATTCTTTTCTGGGAAGTGAAGGACTATTTCTTTGTTCTACAGACCACATCTTGGAGTGTGAGAAAACCTCCTGGGAAGCTGTTGCCTGTGGTGGCCCTGTGTCACCCTTACATAAAGTGAGTGGTAAGCAGANGGGCTGGAGGCGGATAACAATGATATCGATGAGCTTGTGGAAGAGCACAACCAAAAGCTGATCACCGAAGAGCTTATGGAGTTGCATTGTGTTTCACAGCAAGAAGTTGTGGAGGAGAGTTTGTCAGAGGAGGAGGTAACAGCAAAGCAACAATCTTCTGGCACATCATACATTGAGAAGCATCACCCTAATAAGGCAGTGGCTATGCGCGCTACAAATTTATTTAATGATAATGCTGTGTCGCATTTTCACCAAATTTTGAAGCGTCGGCTAAAACAAATGTCTCTAGACAGCTTTCTAGTAAAAAAAGAATTAGATATGTATCATAAATAATAAACTAATTATTTCGATTTTTTTTTTTCGTTTTCGGCAAATCAAATTCGCATTCCAGGTTGGTTCGTTGTGCATAGAAGAAAAGATGAAGATGATTCACACTCCTTAACAATGTTTATATAATCTTCTTTGAATAAACGTTATACATAAATTTTTTTGAGTATTTTCTTGGCATGGAATGCATTATCGTATTTTACATTAATTTATATGGGAAAAATTGTTTCGCTTAACAAGTAAGATTCTGGAACGAATTATGCTCGTTAGGCGAGGTTGCACTGTAATAAAATATCTTTCATTGTGAAGTTTTTGTTGATCTTGATCATTCTTTTCTGGGAAGTGAAGGACTATTTCTTTGTTCTACAGACCACATCTTGGAGTGTGAGAAAACCTCCTGGGAAGCTGTTGCCTGTGGTGGCCCTGTGTCACCCTTACATAAAGTGAGTGGTAAGCAGACAGTTCTGACTCTGAGCATGCAAAAGCCTCTGTGATGTGATGAGTGAAGTCCCTTGCATTGCGGCCAATTCGGGCCTATTGTAGCAGCCCCAGATGATAGGTGAGGCTGACTGTGGAGCAATTGGTGGAATGAAGATTGGCAGGGGAAACTGAAGTACTTGGAGAACACCTGTCCCAGCCCAACTTTGTCCACCACAAATCCCACTTGACCAGACCCGGGCTGCTGCGGTGGGAAACCATCGAATAACCGCTTGAGCTATGGTGCAGCCACAAGTGTCTCTTAGTGACAGTGGAAATGCATCGCCACACCATACCAGCGTTTAAGAGGTAACTTGTACAGCAGCAGTCCCTCTTACAGCAGTTATATAAGTTCTGTGCTTTCAGACGTAATTTCCAGCTATTAAATTTTGGATTTTAAGGAACATGTGGTTGTTATGCCGATGGGTTCTTCCTTCAAGTGATACTTGTCTTACTGCCTGCCTCCCTGCCACCTCAAGACTGTCTGCACACTTATTCTTCTGCCTGCCTCAGCCTGGTTGTGGCTTCCTTTTTGAGCCTGCCTGATTGCATTCCTGCTTTGCTATCCATGGAGCTGGCATTATTCTTACCTAGTATGCGTGGGGCTTCCATTGGCCTAAGGAAGTACAAAATGCTCAGTACTGCCTTAACATGACATTTTCCACTTAAGTGTTGTAACATAAGATGTCGTCTAGTTGATCATGAGTGAGGCACATTGGTATTGTATTACGGACTACTCAGCGCTGGCAGCTTTCCAAGTTTCCACCTTTGTCAGATCAACCAATAACACTGGGTTTAACCTTGAACCAGAGTTTGCTTTCAGTGTTCAGGAAAGGGGCCCAGGGGCAAGTTTGCCAGAGGTAGGTACTGATCTGGCCATACTCCTTTCTTGATGTAAAGATATGAACCTCCAAAATCCTACTCCACTTTATCTTTGTGCTCCTCGTCCGCCCACCCTCTATTATTCAATCAGTTTAGGTTCTTTCATTACACTCAAAATTTCTAATCTGTGTGCATGTGTACATCCACCCATGCCTATTAATTTTCTGATGTATCTGTCAAAAGTTATGTAAGTGAATGCTGGATGTCATTTGTGCTGTATATAATTTATAAAATTAGGATTTTTCTGTGATCTGATGTTTGTTCTTTTGTGAGTTCACGTGTCCATTAAAATGAAACCACGCCTCATCTGAACAAGAACATCAGTACATGATCAAGTTCACAGTAGCTGACCAAGCAGGAAAGGTGGTAACCAATACAATAATTATGCGTGGTAGAAAGCCTGTGCATTTGGCATAGCCGTCACAATACTGAAAGGTTGAACCAGGCTAAGTGCCAGAGGAAGAGTATAGGCAGGAGATAGAAGACTCATTCCTCAGAAGAATTTATGACAAAAAAAGAAGAAGGAATTTGGTATGATTTATACAATTATATTTCTCTCAAATGATGACATCAAAGGTAAAGTTTTCCATGTGTTTAATTAAGCACTATGCCACGGAGACATACGGGGGAGGTCAGGTATAGCTTCACCATTCTTGACCTTGGCACTAATTGTAGGTGAGTGGTCAGCTTACCCATTGGATAGGAGGCTGGGTAAGCCCCAGAGCGAGTCTGGACGCTATAGAGAATAGAAAAATTTGCTCCTGCTGGGGGTTCAACCACGCCCATCCAGTACATAGCCTATTGCTATACTGACTGAACTATCCCAAAATATTGACATTATTTTAATTATTTTGCTTTCGTGTTTGTTAAGGCATTTGAATTCCAAAAATTGTGGGGCAAGAAGTCAGAAGGGCCAGGGTTTTGAGATGGAAGCATGTCGAAAGCTGTTATGTGGAACAGTGGTTCAGCAACACTGGCTCAGAAACGAATGATATGTCGCCAGATTGTTACTTACCTTCCCAATGAAAATCTGGCTTTCCCACAGAAAATGGAATTATATACAGTATGTGGCATATCAGTTGGATTCATTGCTATAGCACAGCATGGTAAGAATTTAAACATTTTGTAGCATATTTTAATCAACTGGTCCTCAAGTGGCTAAATCTGTTGCTAAATTAGAAAACAGTTCCCTTTGTCATTATAGTGATACTTATGATTGAGGTTCATACGCGTAGGTGGTTAACATTTTGAAGGAACCTGCTGCCTATGTCTTCAGGATGGAACTACACAGTGTCCTAAGTGAGGCCACAGCTTCAGAATCCTCAGATCTCATATTTATATGCTGTTTCAATTGATTTTAACATAACTTTTATAGTATATTTCAGTTATTTAAAATGTTAAGTGTATATTTATTTTGTAATCCTGCATATTTAGTGCACCAAAGAATGGATACTTGAATTCAGTCCATATATTCGTCATTGTTCAAATTGTACAGCGAATGCCTTACCAAAGAAGCTCTGGACGGGCTTGGAGACTTCAAATTAGGAGGGCAAATTATTCAAACTGTGAAATATGCAGATGACCTTGTGTTAATGGCTAAGGAAGAAACTGTGCTACAGGGTATGATTGATAGACTAATCGAAATTGGAAGGTGCTATGGCATGGAAATGAATGTGGAAAAAACAAAAGTAATGAAAATTTCGAGACAACCAACCCAACTCACAATAAAGATAGACCAAAAACAAGTCGAGAATGTGAAATGTTTTAAATATTTGGGTAGCTTGTTAACAGATGATGGAAGGTGTACGTATGAAATTAAATCTAGGATTGCCATGGCAAAAGCTGCATTTAGCAAGAAGAAGAATCTTTTTACCAGCAAATTGGACTTAAATTTGAGAAAGAAACCAGTGAAATGCTACATTTGGAGCATTGCTTTTTATGGGGCTGAAATTTGGACACTTAGGGCAGTAGATCAGAAAAACCTGGAAAGGTTGGAAATGTGGTGTTGGAGAAGGATGGAAAAGATCAGTTGGACTGATTATGTGAGAAATGAATAAGTGTTATTTAGAGTCAGTGAGCAGAGGAATATCCTACACGAAATAAGGAAACGGAAGGCTAATTGGATTGGTCATATCTTACGCGGTAACTGCCTTCTAAAGAAGTTATTGAAGGAAAGATAGAGGGGCGGATAGAAGTGACCAGAAGACGTAAGAAGATGCTGGATGACCTTGGGGACAGAAGAGGATATTTTCATTTGAAGACGAAAGCTCTAGATCGCATCAAATGGAGGAACTGTTTTGGAAGAGTCTGTGGACCCATCGTCTTGACAGATTACAGATGAATGAACAAATTCATCTTGAGTAGAAATACTTACGATACTGGAGATCTGTTTACAGAGACTCGTGTCTTGCATGAAGTTCACATGATGCAAAGCCAGTAACAAGATTCACATGATATGTTTGTGTGTATATTTGTATAGCTACTCCCCACTGAGTTTGAGTATGTACTAGTGAAGAAGCAACAGTGAGAGATGCTGGCTTTTTGTTTACAGAGGCGCTTGTCTCACATGAAGTTCGCAGGATGCAAAGCCAGTAACAAGATTCACACGATATATTTGTGTTTATATTTGTATAACTACTTCCCACTGGGTTTGAGTATGTACTGGTTAAGAAGCAACTGTGCGAGATGCTGGCGCTCTGTTTACAGAGACTCATGTCTAGTGTGTAGTTCGCATGATGCAAAGCGAGTAACAAGATTCACATGATATGTTTGTGTTTATATTTGTATAGCTACTTCCCCCTGAGTTTGAGTATGTACTGGTGAAGAAGCAACACTGAGAGATGCTGGTGCACTAGACAGTCTTGGGAAACAACAGCATTTGAAGAACATTCCGCTGGAAGTGAGTGGAGTGCAAGGAACATGATCAGTGTGCCACTACTGTGATGAATTCCCTCCTCTCTGATCTCCATGTAAAGTACCTAAACAGCGGGGGACAGAGGGAAAGAGCTACTTGATGCCGACAGTAAATTCGCTAGTTATAGCCCCTTGTTGGATTACTCCTGTTGATGGTAGGTAATATAGTGCTCTCTTAGCAGCTTACTTAATGTCTTGTACTTGAACATGCTGTACTAACCTCCAGCTAGTGCTGAGGGTCTATACATCCAGTCCTCCATACGTTTTCATGACGTAGTGCTTAAGACTTTGCGGACCGGTGGCATATTTTTATGCCCAGCGCTCTTAAACGTGGTGGACCGGTGGCATATTATTATGACTTTAGGACATGTTATGTTGAAACACACTATACCTTGCACTGGCGCCAGGCAGACGCATGACTGGTGCGTGATAGACCTCTTGAATGTTTGCTTCGTAGTCGCT